GGGCCCGTGAGGCGGCCCAGTGTACTTCTCAGTCGGTGAGTGGAGGAAGGCGCAGGACTGGCCCTACACGCATCATAGGCATAGAACATACACGGAACTTTTGCCTTTTCAACGGCTGACATCTTTGCTGTCTTGGACACAGCCTTCGATCTCGGCGTGAGATTAGAAGGAGTAGTGTCTCCCTTGTTTGCACTTTGGGACTTCGGAGGAGGAGGAGGCTTAGGGTTCAAAGGACTTTTCCCTTTAGGCGCAGGAGCAGCTGGGGTGCCGCCTTTATCCTGCCCTTGATCCCCTTTCTTCTCGCCTTTCTTGTTCTTCTTCTTCTCCTTCTTAGTCTCTGCTGGCAAAGCGCTGGTAGCTGCTTCCTTGCCCGTGCCACGAACAGCCGGTTTGAGCTTGACATCCTGATCAAACTCATCACGGTTGCGTTTTTGCTGGGCAAGCTCAATGGCCAGGTCAGCCTTTGCCCAAAGCCATGCACAGGTGCGGCGGTGACTATCATGGGCGGACTCACGGGCCTTCTCAACGCGATGCTTCATTACTTGGCACTTCTCAAACTCGTCAATGACATGATTGAAAAGAGTTCTTTCCTTGGGGAGCTCATCAAGAGGTATTGCACGGAGAATATAGTTGCACTTCTCACGGAAAGCCTCTATGTCTGCTACTGACTGGCCGGCAAGTTTCAAAACTGGAAGATTGCGTTCTCCAAGGATGCCGATCCGATCACGCTCCAGTTGAAAGTGCTTGAAGATCGAACGCAACATCACGCGCCCATTGGGCATTGTACCTGCGGTGTTCCGTTCGTGCTCCACCATGTTTTGGAACAACAACCCAAACTTGCCTTTGCGACAGGTTTTCAACAGCTTGGCGGCTATCTCGCGGGTTGTGCGTGGGAAACGTTTATCTGCCCTGAGCTGTTCCTCGGATGAGGTCAGGCAATCCTGAGCCCAGAGATAGAGCTCGTCACCGGTCGTCTTTTGCAAACGTCCAATGGCCATGAGGACTTGATTCACGTATCCACGCGCCTGTCCGGCGTTCTCTGGCGGAAGAGTCCTCATGTGAGGCCGGATCTGATGCGCCTGTAGCAGCATCCCCACCACTTGCATCTGCTGCTTGAGTACCTTGTCCCTGCCCCCCATTCATGGAAAGGGAGGGGCATGGCGGTATCATCATGCGGGCCACCACAGACTCGGCATGAGGGAGTGTGACCCTCGTCACCGGATTCTGAGGATGTGTCGGAGCTTGCCTCCGAAGGTGCGAGTGGGGAGGATGTGAATTGAGCCACTTGACTTGTACTTGCACTTGTTAGCCTAAGCGTGGGGATAGCAGTTGTGTGCTGTGCAGCTACGGAAGCTGGGGGTGCCTGAGCCGATGCGATCGGGGGCGAAGCCCCTGATACCCCTACCTGGGCTTCAACTAACTTTGAAAGTTGGACATTAAGTCTACAGGTCCCCTTACATCCTGAGTCCGAGCGACGTCCGGTGGTCGTTGTGGTCGTGCACGTGGATCACCATCCTGGATTTGGACACGCTTGGCATCTGACTTGATGTCGGGCTGTGGGGGAGCGAAGGATTTTGGGAAACCAACAGGGGCACGTGTCGCTACCTTAGGGTCGTTACTTAAACTTCCCGATGCGCCTAGAGCTGCATCCTTCGGGGGATACTGCTCACGTGTGGCATCACTCGGCCCTTGAACTTGGGGAGCCTGTGATCCAACCTGAAGGTCACGTCCAATTTAGCCCCGATGACCCGGGATCCGTAGGATTTTGACTTTCATGACTTTCATCCGGAGGAACCGGAACATTTTGTGCCATGGATGCGACAGCCCTTTCTAGGTCAGCAAGGCCTTGCGACAACAAAAGGTTTTCACTCCCTAATGTATCTATCACTTTGCTTTGCTGGAGCATCTTCTGTTCCCGTGAGGAAATTTCTTGAATAGCCTCCTGCCTCAGCCTGGACACTTCGGCTTCAGCGGCCGACCTTGTTTGTTGTGCTTCATGCCTAGCACGCTCAACATGGCTTACGGCTTCCTGTCTTAACAGATGGACATGGCCTTCGGCTTCCTGCCTCACCTGTTGAACATGGCCTTGAGCTTCCTGTTGAGAATGCGGTGCGGCTTGTTCAGCTAATGCTGTCTGAGCGCGGGCTCGTTCGACTGCTTGCTGGGCTTGGTATGTCAGTTCAGTTGCCTGTTGTCTAAAGGTCTTCTCCCTTTGTTGCGCAACAGCGGCAACCTCCCCTAGCCTTTGTCTGGCCTGGTCCGCGGCTCGATGCTCGTGAAGGGCAACATTGGCAGCCTGATCAGCAATGAGCGAAGCTTGATGCGCACGTTGCAACGCCGATCCGGCCACAAACGCGGCAGCACTCATGTCCCTAGAAGGGTCGGGAGTGGGCACCTGTGGCCTATACACAAGGGGAGTTGCTGTAGAGTCTGAATCAGGTTCCTCTACAATGGGAGTCCTACGGGGAGGAGTCGCGTTGCGATCGCGACTACGATTATCTCTTGATGAGGATGCCCTGGAATTTACGGGAACTACGGACATTGCAAAATATCACCTAGTTCAGGGTCGTCCTCAATAGATTCTTTTTCAGGGGTTGACCTTGACCTATCATCCGAAGGTGGGGAAATCCCTGATGCCATGTCGGATGCACCTTTCACACGAGGTCAGGCTCACGTATGCTGACACACCGCGATTTTAAGCTGCGGCCTTGGAAAAACTTATGATACAACCGGTGTTGGAAACCGGTGCGCTTGCTGCGCTTGAGCTGCAGCCTCCGGCGGTGCCAGGTTTACGAAAAAGTCCTCGGCCGCCCCTTGCCGATTGCGGGCGGCGGCCAACCTCTTCGAGGTACTCGTTCTGATCGAGTATCCTGGCAGGGCGGAGAAGGCGTCGGTGCCGGGTGAGGTACTCGTGGAGCTCGTCCAGCGCGTCGTAACGCGCCCGGTTGGTGCGGCACTCCTTGAGGACGGAGTTGTTGTCGCCCACGATGGCGCACGCCCCGAGCTGCGCTAAAGCTGCAGCCTTGCCAGATGGTCCGACCCGTTTCCAGGTCAGAACCACGTCTCCGAACGGGGGTGTGCCCAAGCCGTCAATGGCGTCGTTGCACACCTCGGAAAACTGGGTGGCAAGTCGGAGGGTGCTTTCCCGGGTGTCCCGGGCCTGGCAGTAGCTGACGATGCGGAACTGGCTGCTTGACCGGCAACTTCAAAGCCGGTGGCGACTTGTACCTCACCTGTGGTGCAGGTGAGGGTGGCGCCCGCTTGTATGCTTTGGGCGGTGTCTCAGGCCGTCTTACCCCACTAATCGACTTTGGAACCGATGCTGCGCGTTGAGCTGCAGCCCTTGGCACTGGTGCTGGGGGTGCTGGTGATGGCCTTTGACGCAGCGCGATCCGCAGCTGCCTGGTCGAGTACGCTTTGTGGGGGCGCCTTGACCTGGCTTTCCCGCTTGGCAAAAACAATCCGAGCGGTCTTTGTTGCGGGTGCTGTGGATGAGTCGCGCCCGGCAGGTGCAGGCCGCTTGATGCTGACCTGCTCAGCCTCGTACACCCTGTCCGGGTTGAAGGCCGCACGACCTGAGTACACGGCTTGCGCCGACCTTTCTGGAGGTGGCGACTCGCTCAGGTTGTAGTGCTCGGCCCTCCCGTGACCTCGGGGAGGATTGGAAGAGGACTCTGCCCTCGGCGGATGATGCCAATACGAGTCTGGGAGGTCGTTTGGCTCGTCTGAGGGTACCGGGTGCGTCGCCCGACCGTGGGTCGTGGGGCACCCTCGTATCGGTTCTGGGGGATCCAGATCCCTGTGCTGTTTAGCCGGGTAGTCGGGTAGGCGCAGTTGGCCGGCGCCAAGACCAGCGGCCGGCCGCTCAGGGATGCCCGGGCTGCAGCTTTGAGGAGTTCTGGATCTTGGGCGTCTGGTCGACGCCTTCCGCACCGGTGCACGGGCAGGTTGTCGCCTTGCCGGCGGTGTCCTCTTCCTCCTCGATGAGGACCTCCCCGCAGCAGTGTACCTTCCCCTACTCGCAGTTGCAGGCGGATAGGATGAAGGTCGGGACGGGCTCTCAGTTGTGGTTCTTGGTGGAACCGCTGCGCTTGGAGCTGCAGCCTGATCTCCCGGCCCTGTTGCTGCCTGTGTCTGCGCTGCGCTTGGAGCTGCAGCCTTGATGGTGGACACAGCTGTGGTGGAGGCTGGACTTGATGGGGCGCTTGGCTGTTGCTGTGGCTGAGCTGGCGTTAAAGCCTTGAGCTGCGGCCTGTGCGTGTTGGTGAATTGGGATTGGTTGGTGGCGGCCTCGGGCGATGACGGCGTCGTAGAGGTCGGGGTAGATGTCCCGCAAGTGCCGATAGCTCTCTTCAGTGAAATCGGCCTGCCACGCCAGGAGGGAGCTCCGATGCAAGTCCGAAGCTTCCTCCCAGGGCACTCTTGCTACACCAACCTGGAACTCGCGCCGAGCCCAACAGGTGAGCTCGTCGAAAGCTTCGTAGTAAAGCTTCCGACGATGGACCCACCCGCCCCTTAGTCCTCTGGCCGAAAAGGCCGGAGCCGGGTCCATGCACGAAGCGCGCTGACTACCGGACTGAGGGGGCCTAATCCCAAAAAGCAGTTACGGCTGATAAGCACTTAATAGGGAAAGAAACACAGCGAACCAGAAACCGGGACCCTTATTAACCCCAGTCCGGTAGGCGAGCGCAACCCCTGTTTCTATGATGGGCATTGAATCCTTGAGCCAAATGGGCATTGCCATTCAGCACGTTCGTGCTATCAACGGGGCCTCCAACATCACATGCATGCACACCCTTCTGGGGTACCTCTTTGGGGGTCAAGGGGTCGTGATTATTCAACTTCGAAGAGTCAAATGGGTGCCACGCCTGCATTTCAATCCTGGCCCCAGAACCCCAGAAACCCCAATCCAGAAAGCCATTCCTCACAACTCCTCGCACATGCAGAATCAAGTGATACAGGTTGAGGGCTGCGGTCCACGGATCTCCCCTCTGCCCGGCCTGGGGCCGTGCTGGTGCCTGCCGCGTTGGGGCTGCTGCGGCTTTGCAGTCAGGCCCGCCCTGCACGAGCCAGCAAACACTGCCGGAAGGCTTGCCGGAGCTTCCAAAATCACCAACTTGAATCACAAGAATCCCCTTCCACAAATCTCATGCAAAGCGTTTGGGCTCGCATGCGCGTCGCGTCCTCGTCCGGAGGCGGAGGGGGTGTGCTAGCTCGGACCTGTGCAGGCAAGGACAAAAATCCTATTGCAGCCGCTGTGAACAGAACACGTTTAACGTTGGAACTGCGCGTCCTTCCACCTGTCCATATCTATTTGGATGTGGATCGTTTGCAATGATTCGGAAAGACATCATCGTTAAACTCGCAGCAAACTCCTGTCTCAGACTAAGTACCAATATGAGAAGCCGTAGCACAAACAAACCACATAGCGCTGCATGCGGTGACATTGGCTGCCATCCCAGCTGTAACATGGCTCAAACAAAAACACACAACTCATCTTTGGCTTTGTCTTTAATATCGGACCAGCATCCAAACCAAGGCAATCGATTGACACACGTGACTAATGTCTTCGAAGAGTCAAATGGGTGCCACGCCTGCATTTCAATCCTGGCCCCAGAACCCCAGAAACCCCAATCCAGAAAGCCATTCCTCACAACTCCTCGCACATGCAGAATCAAGTGATACAGGTTGAGGGCTGCGGTCCACGGATCTCCCCTCTGCCCGGCCTGGGGCCGTGCTGGTGCCTGCCGCGTTGGGGCTGCTGCGGCTTTGCAGTCAGGCCCGCCCTGCACGAGCCAGCAAACACTGCTGGAAGGCTTGCCGGAGCTTCCAAAATCACCAACTTGAATCACAAGAATCCCCTTCCACAAATCTCATGCAAAGCGTTTGGGCTCGCATGCGCGTCGCGTCCTCGTCCGGAGGCGGAGGGGGTGTGCTAGCTCGGACCTGTGCAAGGCAAGGACAAAAATCCTATTGCAGCCGCTGTGAACAGAACACGTTTACCGTCGGAACTGCGCGCCCTTCCACCTGTCCATATCTATATGGATGTGGATCGTTTGCAATGAATCGGAGAGACATCATCGCTAAACTCGCTGCAAGCTCCTGTCTGAGACTGCCAACAAGCACTCACCAATTTCGTGCAAGACTCTTGCCACCAAACAGAATTGAAGTTGGCTTAATTACGTGTGTAGCGTATCTAGCAATCGGACACGTGCTGAAAGGTATGATTCCCATGCCCAACATGCCTGCAGCTACATTCCAATCAAAAGATTCCAAGCACAAACCTCAAAACAAAAGCACCAGAAATGGCAGCACGAACAAAGGCACTGTGCTGTGTTCCCTTTGGGCCTGACCGCAAGCAGCACGCGGCTGCGGAAATGGTGGGGGCTCCACAGCAGCGATGGGGAACCAGCCGCGTGTCTTGGTGCCCAGCCTGAGAGGTCATATCACAAGTTGTGTACCGGACATCGGCCAACTCCCCGAAACTCCCAGAATCTGGCTTTGCGCTGCTGGCTTTGCGCTTCGCGGCCCAGTTAAATCCTTGTCCTGGCCATGCATCTGCATAAAAGCTGCAGCATAAGTTGAAGCACTCCAAAGTGTTTGGCGCAGACACCTTGACAGGAACACACAAAATTGGGGAGGTCTGGCAGAAGGGTCATGACTCCAAAAAGTACCGTAACTGTACCAGCAAAGTCTCGGTTGCCGGCGGGAAGCCGAATTCACACAACAAACAAACAAATGGATAGGCAAAAACAACGTGATAGCGCTCAAATGCAGTTTGCGATCGGAATTTGCAACTGCAATTGTGGCTGCGTCAGCACGACGCATAATTGCCCACTTTTGTCTCGCCCGCGGCAAACACGAAACGTCTCTTGTCTGCCAGCCGTTGCACTTGCTCCTCTGTTTCTCCCCGCAAATTGCAATCCCTCCATGTTGGCCAGGAGGCTCGCAGCCGAAGAGCCAGCCCAACTCGTCGCCCTCTTGGCCGACGTGATCCACCGAGACGTGCTGCCCAACTCGAAGCACCTTACGCGAGTACCCGGACAATCCCCCGAGCTGGGCGGTCATGGAAAACACAAGCGAAACAATCACGGAATCACGGAAGTAAAAACCACACCTCAGCCAAATCCAAGAAACCAAATAGGATCAGTTAAAAGATTTCACGCTTCAAAGGCGCGAGGTAGCCGTTTTCTGCCCCGTACTCCGAGAAGGGCCGCGTAACTGGCAGGGTGCTGCCCTTCCGCGGGGTGAAGCCCGCGAAGCCCATGACCTCACACGTCGGGCTATGGGCCAAAACTTCTCGGAAATTCTGACTGGTTTCCAGAAATTCATCAGAAAAAGCACTGGTTTCATCTATTTGTCAGCAATATGTCATCTTTTCGATGTCTAAGGTTGGAGTGACTATGAAGTCACTGTCCTAAGTTATGAGAGGCCAAGCGGTTGTCGGCAAAGTGTTGCATGCCACTTCCCAGCCTCAGCCAGGCATTGCGTTGTTGCCCATCGCACTTGGAACCGCGATGGCTGCGGTGACGTCCACGCGATGCAACGCGTTGGACAAAAAACAGCTCTTGAACTCTAAAGAACTTCAAAGATCCCCCAAGTTGTAGCAAACAGCAGAGAGATCGACCCAAAGCCTTCCCTTGACCTCTCAAGGGCACATGGCCTCCTGCAAAGCCTGGCTGGCGGAGCCCTTAAGGCTCGCCGCGCAGTCCAGCGCGCTGAGGACCTGCTCCTCCGACTGTGGGCTGGCCAAATTCTTCTGATTTGAACTTTTGCGTTTGTTCAATTAACATAAAATGCTTCAAAGGGGTCCTGGCTTGACTTTGAACACGCTGGCCTCATACGGGGCGCAGGTCTGACTACAGTAGCAAGCATCAACACTTCAGCCCAGAATGCGCTTCCAGTCCCAAAGTCTTCCACGGGTGCCACTGTCACTCCGATCACTCCGCCAACTTTGACCACTTTGACCTGGGCCGCCGGGCCGTGTACTTTTCTGGAGGCCAGCCCGCCAGGAGGATGTCTGAGAGTAGCAGCCGCCTCAGCGCACAAGGCAGGTGCTTTCCAAAAACTGAGATGCCCTGAATGCGACACCATCCCCCACTTAATCCAGATAGATCGAGCCTACACGTCTAGCATCCGTATCCGAGGGGCAGCTTCCGCACGTTTCGGGCGGCGATCGCCTCCTGCAGCTTCCGCTGCGTGAGGTCCGCGGCCGGCGCCGGCGCGGCTGGCGCAGGCGGCGCGGCCGGCGCGGGCGTGGCCGGAGCCCCGCTCCGCGGCGGATCCTGGGAAGGGGACCATAGGGACCCAACCCGGCGACCAAACCCGTGGACTTCCGAATGCAGTCAGGCCACTGCGGGCGTCGGCATCACGGACGTGAACTTATTCTGGGCTCTCCTCTTCCGGACCTGTCCAGGTGCACAGAAACTCCGTACATGGCCATGGTCCCCACTGAGCGACACGGCTCAAAACCAGGACCATACAAGGGGGATAGTTGTGGCTGCAATGAGAATGCTCCTTCTGACTGTGGAACTCGCATGGATGGCCGTCCCTCGCAATGACTGTGGATTGTTCTCCCCCATGCACTCAGAAACCACTGCAGCGGTCCGAAGCCAAACGTCACTGCAGCCCTCTCTGAGGCATTGAATCGGGACTTTGCGCTGCTCGGCACACCTCGACACCTCGACGCCTCGACACCTCGACACCTCGCTTGAAAGCGTGCTGGGGCCACGACCACGCAAACGGCAGCGAGGATCACGGTGCAGCAACAGGAGCAAGCAATGACAACCTGGCAGCGACTGGAGCTGCACTGAACCGTGGCAAAGAGCAGCGTGAATTATCGTTGGACGTGGCATGGCCGGAGCAGTGGCTAGCAACTAATTAGTGGTTTGGTGCGCTGTATTTCCTGACTTGAGTGCATAAGTCATCATTGTCCATGAGGCTTGCCGCTCATTCCAACTGTCTCTTCAAATTAAGTGGCAAACTGAGTCGCTTTAAGTTGGCTTTAAGTATCTTTAAGTATCTTTAAGTTGCTAACGCCGAAGCGCTTTGCTCTTGCTTCGCTGGGCCCCCGGCCAGCGCAACGATCCCCGCGTCCAGGGGCCGTGGGCTGGGCCCCGGGTCCGGGATGGACGGCAGCAGCGCATCCTCTCGGCAAAACATGCTCGGGCGCGCGTGAAAAGCTGAAGTCTTAGCTTGGGAAATGGTTCCCACAAAAGCCAATTGTGTCCAAGCACCCAAGGATTGATGACCAGGCCTATCACCCCCAGGCAGCCTGGTTTTGGACCATGGACCAACCAATACGATCCAACATGGAAGCAAATCACATTTTTGAACGAGAACTACAGTTTCAAAAATCGGAGCGCACTTCCATTTTGGGGGGAGGGCACGAGTCATCGCTTTGCCGCTTAACAAACTTTTGTCTCCAAACGAGTGGATCGACTCTTCATACATGCCGCCAAGCCATACGTATCGGACGCTCGAAAATCACATGTTTGCGGGAACCTCGCTGGGACTAGAATCCCCACCAAACCAGGCAGTCGCACCGACAGGGGGGGTTGCTCAAGAGAATAGGCTTCCCGGCCACCACGTCCGGCCACAGCTCTTGTGCCTGAGTCAGGATCTGTGAGAAGCCGGCTGTGGGGTCACGCAACATGGAACTTGTTCAAGTTCATGTTGCACTGCATAGCTTTTGCAGCTCTGGAACTGCCAACCAAATTGTTCAGGTCAACAAGCCTCTTCTGATAGAGGCGCAGCGCATCGCTGCTTGTCGTTTCCAGATTTAAAGAGCCAAACCCCAGATGCAAGGCGAAAACACCCATGAAATTGGAGCCCTTTCCGCATGTGCCCGCTTTGAGGCGGCAGGCATGTGCTTCGCCTCTTGTCGCCCCTCCCCAAAGCGCCGAACAACAAGCTGCCCAGTTGCCAGCTCCGGCAGTGGGAAGGCCGAGGTCTGCAGGCGGCGCGCCTCGATCTGACGGCCTTCTTGCCAGGAGCTGTTCATTAGCAGCTAAGCAGCTTTGGAAGTTGTGGCTGACGAAAATCGACTGCTGACCGAACATGGCGGGCAGTCCCAGATGTTTCCACTGCCGCATGCCTGCCGAAGATGCTTGCCGAGTGTCCATTAAGTCGTAGTCGAAGTCCGGATAGAACGCATCATACCTGAGGGCATAGCCGAGACATCACACTGCGCGATTCGAAAACGCTCACGCTCCAAATTCTCCGCGACAGCAAGCCGATCGAAAACTGGCCGAAGCTGGCGGTGCTCCACTGGGCCCTCACTTCAAGCTTGGCCTGCACCTGTATCCGAGCGCTGCTTGGTGCAGTTTGGATCCTTGGATCCTTTTTAGGGCGGCAAAGCTAATAACCAAGACTCACCCAACTTGTCGCCACCCAAACATGCCTTCAAACCATTTTGACCTGAAAGCCGTGCCAAAAAATCACGCGTCTTCTCGCGTAGGCGCTCCGCAGTGCCGCTTGCAGTCGCCAACAGCTCCTCCTCCCGCTGCAGGGAGCGATCCTCCCGGAGGTCCAGGCCCACAGAGAACACGACAGCCGCCTGCACCGGGGGGCGGAGTTCTGATCAACTGGGAAAATATCAATCTTAAAATAATAGGATGTCGGGGATATCGGGCTCGCCCCACCTGCTGCTTCAACAGCTGAGCGGACTGCAACGTGCGGCTTGGCTCGGAAGAAGGGCCGTTCCTCATCTCACGCCGAGGTCACGTGCCAAGACCATGTAGACAAAGGACTCGGTGTCTCCATGCAACCACGGCACGTGAGCAGCACCACCACAGACGTCTGCGAGTGCCTGTTCTGATCGTGCCGAACAGAGGAACAGAAAGTCAGGAAAGTTGCAACAGCAAGGGACGATCGAACAGGCGTGGCTGAGGGCTCCTGTTGGACAAGGCCGCCCTGCAGGCATCCAGCGCCCCCGAGGTGTTTCGCGCCGCCATGGACACGTTGGCACCTGCGAAGTGCGCAGGCAGCGCGAGCTGTTGAGAACCAATGGACCAAAGAACACGTTCCTGGCGCCTGTGTGCCAAATGGCGACACGACAAACCCCTCTGCTTCGCTGGCCTAGCAGAGGGTCGAGGATTTCCGACAAGTTGGCGTCCTGGATGTCCGTCAGCTTCGGGTGGTACACCACCTCCTGGCATGTGCCGCTCGCGAATCGGAAACAAGGGGCCCAAGAACACGGCAATATGAGCCATGGACATCTTCCCCCAGATGGCAGGGGTCAAAAAAGCTTATTCATTTCGTGGCAGGCCAAGCACTTTCGGGTACAGATTTCGTGGCACGCACGGCACTTTCGCAAGGTAGGCGCAATGCTTTCGCAGGTCAGGTACAGATTTCGCGGCAGGCGCAGCGCTTTCGCAAGGTGCGGTACAGATTTCGCGGCAGGCGCAGCACTTTCGCAAGGTCAGGTACAGATGTCGTGGCAGGCACAACACTTTCGGAAGGTCAGGTACAGATTTCGCAGCAGGCGCAGCACTTTAGCAAGGTCAGGGACAGATTCGCGGCAGGTGCAGGACTTTCGCAAGGTGCGGTCCAGATTTCGCGGCAGGCGCAGCACTTTCGCAAGAGGTGCCAATTTCGCGGCAGGCGCAGCACTTTCGCAAGGTACTGTGCAGAGTTTGACACAGGCGCAACATTAAATCAGCGGGGGGGTTGGGGGGGGCTGCCGCCCCCCCCCATGATGTTCGAGGAAGTGAAGATTCAACAAGGGGTGCGCTAAGCTCTGTAAGCATTCTACAAATCAGCAGGGGGGTTCGGGGGGGCGGCAGCACCCCCCCATGATGTTCGAAGAAGCGATGATTCAACAAAGGGTGGTGATGATCGAAGAAGTGATGATTCAGCAAAGGGTGCGGTAATCTCTGCAAACATTCTGAAAATCAGCGGGGGGTTGGGGGGGGCGGCAGCCCCCCCCATGATGTTCGATGATTCACAAAAGGGTGGCGATGATCGAAGAAGTGACGATTCAGCAAAGGGTGCGGTAATCTCTGTAAACATTCTGAAAATCAGCGGGGGTGTGAGGCCCACTGCCGGGGCGCCTATCCAAGAAGGGAACTGGTACCCTGTGGTAGTAGAGGTCGTTGATTTGGTCCCTGGATCTATTCCGAAGAGAGTCCAATATGCCAATATGGAGGATTGGAGGATGGATTGTCCCTGGTGGCTTGTGTTGACTGTGAATCCTGTAAAGCGGTCTGCAAGCCTTTTTATCAATGTACCATGTGTCGAATGACTGTACAAATGACTTGAAGGGCCTTGAGCCATCATGTCAGCGGAGTGTGTGAATAGGTCAATGTGCAACAAAAAAGCAACACAAACCAGACACAAATTTCTTTTGACCTTTCACACCGAAGTGTATGATTGGCTTCTTGGCCTTACGTGCCGTAGCCATACTTGAAAGTGCCGTAGCCATGTATTGTTACAATGATTCATCCAACTTTGGCGCGGATGATTTGTCATGTGAGCAAAATGGAAAACAGTCTGCTCTGATTCTGTGAGATACCTAGATGTG